ATGGTTTGGCTGGAAGGGACCTTAAAGATCACCCAGTTCCATGGGCAGGGAAATCTCCCAGAGATCCAGGGAGACTCCGGTTGACGGAGGGGCCAGCGGGATCAGATCCCTTGGAGTCCCTTCCTGGGGCTGGGGCTCAGCCCTGCTGTGGATTCCTGCAGCTCCATTCCCATGGAGGGCTCTTCCCTGGTTACTAATCCTGGATCCTGGTTCCTGTGGAACCCTGGTCCCTGCTGGCCCCTGGTCCCTGCTGGCCCCTGGTCCCTGCTGGCCCCTGGTTCCTGCTGGCCCCTGGTTCCTGCTGGCCCCTGGTCCCTGCTGGCCCCTGGTTCCTGTGGAACCCTGATCTCTGCTGGCCCCTGGTCTCCCCACCCCTCTGGAGGCGCTGCTCTCCAGCCCCTCCAGGTGCCCAGTGGCAGTGCAGGATCCCCTTTTCTAACCACAAGTTCCAGACACAGCATTGAGACATCCCAGGAAAATCACAGATTCCCTGCAAACCACTGGGAGTGTTTCCACACAGCCAAGATGAGCCCACCCTGGTGTCCCCTGGGGCCATGTCCAGCCTTTGGGTATTGTCCCACCCATGGATGTGCCAAGGGAAGCGTCCCTGGATATTTGTCCTGAGCCATAATCCCCCTGGAGTCACTCCAGTGCTCTTGGGACAGAAACAAAGGATAAATCCAAATCCAAACCCTCTCAGTCCCTCCCTGTCCCCAAGCACAGGGAGGAGGGACAAGGTGTCACCATCCACGGTGACATCCCCATGGAACCCGGCTGGGGCTGAGCAAGGGACGAGCCAGCAGCCATGGACACCCCTGCCCTGGGCCTTTGTCCCCAGCCTGCGTGGCCACTCCAAGATTTGAGGCTTTCAGGGGGTTTTGGTGGCCACTTCACTTGGGGTTTCCATCCTGAGGAGGAGGGGACAGCAGTGCTCCTGTGCAGGGACATTCCAGGGATAGAAGTGCTGGAGTCTGGAGCTGGTGAGACATTGCCATGGAAACAGGAGCTCCAGCACCTGAGCAGCCCTGGAGGAGAAGGTGGAGGGAGCAGAGAGAGGCAGAACAGGGGAGAGGCTCCAAGCTTGGCCAGGCAGGAGGAGGAGGGAGGAAAACCAGTAAGAGAGGAAGCAGAGGAGATGGGAGAGGGAGGAGAGCTCTGCTGGGAGGGACAGAGAGACACGGGGCCACCTGCAACTCCTGTGTGACTCCATGGCTGGCAAAGCCACCGAGAAGGGGCTGTCCCCTGAGGAGGTGATGTCCCCATGCTCATCTCCTGCACAGCAAATCCCAGCAGCGTGTCCAGGGAAGGAAGGATTGAGATCCTGGAGGAAGCTCAGGCCTGTCCCTGGTGTGAGGACAATCACAACAGGCAGATGCATCCCAAGGATTTGCAGTTTCCTGATCCCCACCTTTCTCCTCATCCTAGGGATGTTCAACCTCGAGACCTTCCCAGCACCACTCCCATAAATCCTGTGGGAATGAAGCAGCTCCCAAACCCTCCGGGCTCCACAGGAAATCTCTTCCTTCAGATGTACTGAACCTTTCCCTCCTGGAATCACCTCATTCCTCCCCCATTCCCTGCTTGCTCCTTATCCTGCTGGATGTTCAGCTCTTCCAGGGATGCACCCACTGGAATAAGAACACCTAAGTCTTTTTTCCTCCTATCAGATCCTTTCTCCTGTCCCCCCACCCCTAAAAATAGAAAAGAAAGGGATTTATTCTCCTTCTTCCCAAACCCTGATCCTTACAAAGTTGTTTCTTTCTCCTCACCTGCACGAAAATTGTTCCCACAGGTGTTTGAGGGCTTGGAAAAGCAGAAACTTTATCATTTAAGCATTGAAGGATTTCAAATCCCTCAATTATCCCCATTTTGAGTAGATTGAAGGAGCCGAGGAGCAGCAGCTCCGTAACAATCAACACAAAAGCAGTTTCCAAGTGTGTCATTTATGTGGTTTTGTCCATGATCCTGGCAGGGAGATAAATTCCGGAATTTATTCCCTCTAATCCAGGCAGGCAACAATTGATGGTTTTTTAGGAGGGTGAAAATGGCCGTGGGATGTTCCAATGTTTATGGGCTGCTAAATTTGATTTATAGGGAATTATCAGCACTGCCATTGGGAAGGGTCCAGGGAGCTTAATATGATTTGCATTGATGAGATTAATATCAATTAACAGCTGCCAGGTTTGTGGAGCACAGCTGAGGCCTGATTCTGAACAGCTCCAGCTCCTGATTCCCACCAGCTCCATCTCCCAATTCCCACCAGCTCCATCTCCCAATTCCCAACAGCTCCATCTCCCAATTCCCACCGGCTCCAGCTCCCAATTCCCACCAGCTCCAGCTCCTGATTCCCACTGGCTCCATCTCCCAATTCCCACCAGCTCCAGCTCCCAATTCCCACTGGCTCCAGCTCCCAATTCCCACCGGCTCCATCTCCCAATTCCCACTGGCTCCAGCTCCCGATTCCCACCAGCTCCAGCTCCTGATTCTGAACAGCTCCAGCTCCCAATTCCCAGCAGCTCCAGCTCCTGATTCCCACCAGCTCCATCTCCCAATTCCCACTGGCTCCAGCTCCTGATTCCCAGCAGCTCCATCTCCCAATTCCCGCTGGCTCCAACTCTAGCAGGTGAAGGGGATTTTGCTCTGCAGATGTTTGACCTCAAACCCCACAAATCCTGAGGGATTTGATTGTTTTTTTCTGGTCCCTGCTCCATAAATCTCATTTCGGCTATGAGACCCTTTAGAGGGGTGTAATTCCAGGGAAGGGCCCAGGATGGACACGGATTTCCTGGGGTGAAGCAGGGGCAGTCTCAGGATGTGTCTGGTCCACTCCGAGCCCAGAGGAAGGGGCAGAAGGAATTTTGTAGCTCCCGATCCTCGTGGTGCTTCAGTGCCCTCTCGTGTCGGGATTTACGGAGGGGCTGAGCCTGGAACGCGTCTCCTCGGTGGATTTGGGAAAGGAAAGAAGCTTTTCCATTGGGACCACCCCCCTTAGCCTGATCCTGAAACTCCTGAAGATATAAAACCCCACAAACATTTTTTAATTTAATTTAATTTAATGCTTTGAACACCAGCTCTGGGCCATGAAGGCTCCCCCATGGCTGGGAGGGAAAGGACTTGGGTGACTCCCAGTGCCAGTCAGGGTGTGGGAGAGAGCAACAGGGCTGGAATTGGTGCCAGGGATGTGCCAGGAGACCCAGCTCCCCTGGCTCAGTGGGGATACCCAGGATCTGGGGCATTAGTAGGTGATTGAAGGTTTTGCTGTTGCTTCTTTTCCCTTCAAGACCTCTTGGCTCAGCGGGAAAATTCATCCCAGTTCTGTTCCATGGTACCAAATGTCACCCACCCTGCAAGCCCTGCCTCTGTCCCCGAGTCAGGGGATGGAGGGGACAGGGAGGGGCTGTCCCCACTCTCCAGGCAACACAACCCACCCCGAGCCCAGCACACATGGATGGGACGTGAGCCTCTGGGAGGCTCCAGAGTGGTAACTCAAAATTTTATCGTGTGCCTTGTGTGAGAGCTCTGTCCCAGCTTGGACCAGCTGCAGCTGGGATGGACTGGGATGGACTGGGATGGACTGGGATGGACAGGGATGGACTGGGATGGACTGGGATGGACTGGGATGGACTGGGATAGACTGGGATGGACTGGGATGGACTGGGATGGACTGGGATGGACTGGAATAGACTGGGGTGGACTGGGATAGGCAAGGGCTCGTGGTTGGATGGAGATTGTGCAGCAGCCAGGCTGGGGATGGATGAAAAGCAGGGAATTTCCTTCCCAAATGAGGAGCACACCTGTCCAGGTGAGGGGAGTGACGTGCTCTAGCTTGGAATCTGCACCACAACACAGAGAGAATGGAATGGGCTGGGAGAGCCTGAAACCCACCCAGTGCCACCCCTGCCATGGCAGGGACACCTCCCACTGTCCCAGGCTGCTCCAGCCCCAATGTCCAGCCTGGCCTTGGGCACTGCCAGGGATCCAGGGGCAGCCCCAGCTGCTCTGGCAATTCCAGCCCAGCCCTTCC